TTAAGTCTTTTATACCAAACTACTCATTATGGATCATTTTTTTTTTGTTGAAAATAAAAAAAAAATCCTTTATGAAAGTTTTGAAACACTGAAAAAGGAATTTCCTTAATAGTTTAAAGGTCTAATAGAAAGATGTTAGAGAATGTGTATTTTTCACTTAAATACATTGAAATTGACTTTTATACAACATTTGTTATATTTAGGCTAGAAGAACTCAAAGGGACAATAAAATTCCAAAGTTCACTGAAGGATAATTATTTCACTGTTGAGAGAGAAAATATGACAAGTAGTTTTACAATGTGTCTGCACTATCTGTTTATTGAAGGATCTATGAGACTACAAATTCATGGCCCAATATTTGAGAATCAAACTTATAACAGATTTTACATTCCTTAAAACAAAACCATTAAACTGATTTTGATGATAGAACATACAAATAGTAAAATATTGGTGAAAAAAAAAAAAAAAAAAAAAAAAAAAAAATTTTTTTTCAAAATGTGTACAAATTCTGATAGGTAAAAAAAAAAAAAAATGGTTAATTATGAGGATATTGCCAAATAAAAATTTGATGATTTTCACATGGTTAAGATACAAAGAGTTCACTAATGAATATAGAATTAGAAGAGGCAAAAATATCCCATCCTTTGTTTAAATAATATCAAATAAACTTTAAATGTTCTTAAATGTATACTAATGTTTTTATAAATTTTCAATGAAAAACCTGGGCATAATTATTTAGTAAGTGTAAATGCTTTCTTTTTTATATCTGGAAATAATGTTTACTTTCAAGGTGTTGAAATTAATAAACTTAAAATGTGTTCATTGGTTCTATAAGAGGCAGTAGTAGCATATAGCAATACTCAAAGTTAGCATGAAAATCTGCCATAGATATTGTCAACAAAAAAGTTTTAGAAAATGAAAGCAACTTTATTTGTAGATGCAATAATGTCAATCTCACATGTTTAAATTACATCTCAGCATTTAATAGGTAAAAATGCTTTGCTGATGGAAGAAACTTTTTGATGAAATGAGCTGCTAGTAGCTACATCAGGTAATGTCAATGGTTTCTTAAAACTGGAAATTATTCAAATAGAAAGTTATGAGTGATAAATAAGAAATGACTATTCATTTTTCAAAACCACTATCTACTTAGCATCAGATAGAGGAACTGAATAAAACTTTAGTTAAGATTATAAAATACAATTTGAGTGATGAAGTCAGTCATAACAGCACGATTATATTGAATATTTCCATCAGAAATTGGAGGGGGGGTAAGTAGGCAATCATATGAAGTATTTGAAGATTTTAAAATACTAGGAATATTCTTCTAATAACAAATCTTTAAACAAATGTGATTCACAAATGTTTTATAATGATAAACAAAAATACATGGATATTTTATTTTTATTCAAATACTTTTTGCTGCTACAATAGATTTATTGTATCTGATTAATTCCGATGAGCATACTTGTAGATCATAATGAACTGGTTTCTCTCCCTATTTTTTCAATGCAACATCATATATGATAAAAAAATAAAAATTCAGCCGTTAAAAGTTGAGACCCAGTGAAAAAATGAAGTTAAATAAACAGTACGTTCTAGAATAAGTCAAGGTAGATAACCGATTCTAGAATGTCTAGTTAGAGAAAATGTTTGTTTCAAAAATATCAGTGACTCAAGCAAGAGTAAGCAATAAAACTAGTGTCTTATTGCAAAACAATGTAACAAAATGGTTAGTGGTTTTTCTGTTCATATTACTGTAGATTACATATACATTTATTTTCTTGTTTTCATTTTAGTTGATCTGTATAACTATGTGTTCAAAGTAAATGAAAGAATATAATGCTGTGATTCACTTGTGTTGTTAACACATTTACAAAAACAAAATGAAAGCTGAATTATAGGAATTATCTTTGTAAAAGAATTTAAAAAATACGCATTAACTTAAAAATCCTGAAAAGCAGATGTGGCATGTGGTAAAACTAAAAGCCTTACCTTACACCTGGATTGAGGTTTGAGAATAAGGTAAAAATACTGATAAGTGCCATTTGAAAATGCTGAAACTTAGAGACTCAAATTAATAAAGAATTAATGCTAATAGATCGTGATTCAAACAGTAATGCATTTATATTCATTTTTATTTCCTTAACAATGAAATTAGATTTTTCAGTTCAAATTACTAACACTAGAATTCAATTTTAACTATATAGATAAAATGCTCAATTTTAAAAATTCTTTAACAATCAAATTGGAAATTTTTTTAAAGATTTTCCTGAAATGTCATTTTTATTAGAAATGGAACAATGTTTAATTTCACAGTGCTTAATTAATTCTTCCCATGAGTAATAAACCTTACCAATAAATATTTTCATTTATTACAAGACAGAATTTATTTTCAGAAACATGATAAAAGTTTTGTTTGTTGCTTATAGAAATTTTGTAGATGGTTTCTACCTAAAATTGCAAGTTAACATTAAAGTTTAGAATTTAAGTTAAATCAACGCTTGGTCACATCATGTCATAGATGAATATTAAATTATTCATATTGTCTCTAATGTTCACTGCAATTTAAAAAATAAATTGCATAATTTACAATGTTTATAAAAAAGGAAAAACGTCTTCGCAACAACTCGAATGATTAGCTAAATTTGATTTATTTACGATTTTAACGAAATGAGAATAGCTTCTAATGATAAAATTTCACGGTGGAAAACGACGTAAAAAGCAAATTCATTTTTTTATAGTTGCACAGTAAAAGTATGAGAAGTGTGCATGAAAAAAGGTAAAGGAGTCGACTCAACTGTGTAAATTACAAATATTCTTGTAACAAATCTAGTGATTGGTAACTAAAAATTCATTCCTATTGTTATGTAACTAGGACTAGGAGTAACAGTACTATTATATCATCAAATTAACCAACATGCAATTTAATTCAAACATATTGAAAAATGAAACTTCATAATTTTCTAATTTGGATTCTCCCCATTAAACAGCAAAGAAAACAGTGAATTACAGAAAAAAAGCAACTGTGTTTTTTTCTTTATTTTGTGAACAATAAAAAATATTTTAATTTTTTATTCATACCGCCACAATATGGAATGAAGTCATGAAAGAAAATGCAAAACAATAATTGTATCAATTATTTATGTATATACAACTAAGCAACGTTTTTAATACAATTTATCCAAATGAAAAAGACTGACATTTTAAGTTTTTAAATATTACTAACCAGAATTTTTGATAAATCAATAATTAAGTTTAAAACAAGAAATAAAAAGTGTAAAAAACAAACAAAAAGAAATTAGTTTGTTTTACTTTTATGACAAAGTCCAAGTGGTGGGAAGGTTTTTATGGTTTACTTTTTAATTTTAAAATTGGAAATTTATTTAGTCTCGATCAAATAGTTTACTTTTAGTTTTCACTTTTCACAATCGATTTCAAGTAAAACGCTGGGATTAGAAATCAATTTGTTTGCAATCGTTTCATAATCGTGTAGCAGCATGCAATAAAACGACGAAATTAAGCTTATTTGGGGGGGTGTATATTGTTTCGAAACAATTTTAAGAAATTTTCTAAGAAAATGTACCTTCATAAATATACCATAAAGTTAGAAGTTTACATAAATATCGTAAAACCAAAGGAAGAGAGCCTAAAAAAGCACATGGTTGGTTCACCAGTCACTTGTGAAGGAAGAATGATTTGCAAATCTTTAAAGGACAATAGCAATTAGAGGAAGCCACCATAAAAATGCTACATTTGCACAGACTAGTCGCTAGAAACATCAATTTTCTTATCAGTAATTAGGCTAATCATCAAGATTATAAATTTACAGTTTTATGGTTAAATCCATCTGAATAAAATACAAGAAAAAGAAGTTAAACTTCAAGGTGGAAGAAAGTTAAATTCACTAAAAATCATATTTGCCTGTAGTAAAAACTTTTTAAAAAGAAACAAAACGAGCTTAAATCAAACAGAATTGGTAAGAAGCTGATCAAACTTAGAGAATTTTTTTAACCGAAAATGTAATTTTTAAATAATTAAAAATAATAACGATCGGACAAAATAAATGTACAAATCAAGAAGCAACTAAAAAGAATAACTTTTTAAAATATACCGATAACGAACGAAGCTCCAATGTATTTTTTGCATTTAATTTGAAAGCAAAGCGTCAACCACTTAAAATTGAATTACCTTTGCTTTTTAGTGTAAATGATTTTTGTCTTAAAACCTTCTAATTTTTAATGAACATATATAGATTCATTAAAAAAAAAGAAAAGAGAAGAGAACACAGCAAATAAAAGCATCGAACATAAAATATTGAAACATTTTTAAGGAAAAGGATAAGAAGCGTCAATACAAATATGTAATAAACTAATCCCTCATTTCATGGCCATTTTATACGTGTCTTCACGTTACCAACATAAGCATCAATAAACATTGTTTCTTTTTTTTTTTTTTTTTTTTTTTATTAAAACAAAAAAAAAACAAGTAAAGTATCCACCAAATATGTGACAGAACAACAAATGGAAGAAAGTAACTAATTTGTACATCGTAAATAGATATTACTCGCAAGTTTTTAAGAGCGATATCAGCTATAAAGGGAGAAAATAAGGTGATAATAAAATAAAGCTTATAAAGTACGTCGTTGTACATTTGGTATGAAGAGTTTTACGAAGGAGGAGGACAAGGCACTCGCTGGCTGCTACAAAAGACTAGAGAGAGATGTCGAGGAGGGTCATTGGTCTACTTTTAAAAGGATGGATCATGATAACAGATATATATATATATATATATATATATATAGAGAGAGAGAGAGAGAGAGAGATATATAAACCCTATTCTCTCGTTTCTGATTGTAAAGACAAAAATGCCGACAATAAAAACAAAATACAAGATTATTCCTTATTTGACCATTTTTGTGTATCATGCACTTGTTGGGTCTCATCGTCGTACGTTTTTAAAGCAGAAATGAAATCTCTACAAAAAGTAGACATACTTACGGTTGAATTTACATCAATTTCCACTTTAAACATATGCTGTTGTAATGTTCTTAGTGTGATCAACATGATTAATACTACCTAGGCAACGAAATTAGAGATACATAAGAACTTTAAAAAAGAGAAAAAAATGCTTCCAGTCAAAAAAATCCTGTTTCACGTCAACGACTCTAACAGGCCTTTCGCCATGAATGTGACGTCATACTACCTTGACTTCATATTGGAAGACCAAAGCAAGAAAGGGAGGGGGAGAGGAAAATACCAGATATTGAGAAGGAGTAGGCAAAGTGAGAGAGAAGACGCACATATGCACAAATAATAAATGAACATTTTTATTGTAGAAAATGACATTTATTGCTATCTATATAAAAAGATAATGTTTTAAAATATTTCCCTATATTTTGAATTTTTTTATGGCTTTTAATGCTAAAAGTAAAATGAATTAAAAAAAAATAGATAAATCTAGTTATGCAGCTTTTGTTGCTAGAAAATTCAACCAATCAAAAACTGACAAGTACGACTCTGCTGTTGTTAAGAAAACCTACTTCCGGTTTTATAGCTCGCTGCATTTACCTATTTTATCTACTTTAAATGAGAGGCATTTTTTTCGCATGAGAACACTTAACAATTTGCATTTACTTCAGACACATTATGCACCTACTTGTCTATTGTCGGTAACTCGTAATAGTTGTAATAACAGTACCTATGATTCTTGTACTTGTATAGTATAATAATTAGGTCTTAACATGGCATCAGCATCTACTAGTTCAAAAAAAGAAGTCATACCTGCTTGCTCTTTTTTTCTTACCAAAAAGAAACGTTATTGTCGTTTCAGACCGTGTAATGATCAAAAATATTGTTCGGAACACATATATTTGTTAAATGTAAGTTTAATTCGTAGCAGTTTCTTTTTTAAAGCTTCACTTAAAAAAAATATTTTTTTTATTACCATGACTGCGAACATAGCGTCTTTCTTTTTACAATTATTAAATAATCGTTTGTCTTTTCATGATGCTATGATGATGAACCGAAATTGATCACATCACCAGCATGATTTGTTTTTTAAACTCATACGTTTAGTCAGACAAGCAGAAAATAGATTTATAAACGATTTTTTTTCAGAACTTATTGATTTTTTTTGTTCGCTTTTGCGACGATGTGAAAAAGAACAGCTGTCCTATAAAAAAAATTCAGATAAACATACTCAAACTAAATTACAAATATGTGTTAAGTTAAGAATTTTTTGTTGTACTTAGCTTTTAGAATCTCGTTTTAAGCCAATAAAAGATTATTATTAAAAAAAAAAAAAGAAAAAGTTCATTGCAATTGACTTGGTGCGTCATATAACGAAAAAATTCATTCATTTTTTAATAATTCAAATGTAAAAAGCAATATAAAAACTTACGAAAAGATACTTTTTAAAATCTAAAATGTTTTTTTTTAATTTGTGATGCTGACTGACCAAGTTTTTTTGGCACTTTTTGCATGTTTTTTTACATTTCTAGTCATTTTAGAAAACACTGTTTTAAGCAAAATGTTCAAAAAATGATTACTGACGCACCTATTTTGAATTATTGTAGAATATAGATCATTAAAAAAAAATCAAACTTTCTCGTGGGTATTGCGGATTTTACAAATACACACTAATTTTGTACCTTGTTGATTCACAATAGGTTACCATTGGTGATGAAATAAACATTTTCCGTATCGTGTTCAATATTCATTCTTTAAATGGATAAGTTCGAACACTTTTTCTTTTTAAATCAGCATTAATATGTGAATTTAAAAATAAATTCTAAAAATTGTCATCTTCATTTTTTAATATTCGCCAAGATTTACTATATTTTGTTTTGACAAATCATTTTTTTGTCCTTTAAAATTCAAAAACATAAAGAATGTTTCATTTCAGTAGTAGTGTTTAATTAATATTTAATTCTAAAAGAAACATAGAATTTGATGATTATTAATGACTTCCTCATTATTATTTTTTAATTAAGAACACAACGGTAGAGTTATAAATTTATATTCATATATTAATTTAAAAATTAACCAAATGAAGTTTTCGAACTATGCTTGTACCTGTGCTAGACAAAAATTTTAAAGTTATGTCTTGCAAAAAATTCTCAAAAACATCAAAAAAAAAAAAGATTCTCAACAATTTTGATTGAAAGACTAAGAAAATTGAGATTTTATAAATTATGAGTGAATAAGTTGTAAAAGAAAGATGCTTTTACATTTTTTTTAAATAGTACAATGACTAATTCTATTTTTAGGATGAATCTGATCGAAAAAGAATACCATGCCCATTGGATCCGAATCAGTGAGTATTTATTTTTTTCTATAAAAAAAAACAAAAATCTTTTCTCTATTTAGAATTTCACGAAAATTACATTTACTATTATTCAGGAGACATTTTATTGTAGAATTTTACAGTCCAGTCTCCTGAAGAGTGGATGTGTAATTTCTACAAAAAAAAAAAAAAAAAAAGCTGGGACACAATAAGTGAATATTTATTTATTTTTTTTATTAATGCTCAATAATATCGAGCACTATAATTACAAATACTTTGCCTAAAAAATGTTATCTTCCAAAAATACCCAGGTCAATTATTTGTATTTAATTTTTTAAACACAACCTCTGTTATCTAACACACACATAAAAATTCAAAAGACTTATCTTCTAACTTCAAGTTTCATAGATGCACTGCTTTGTCAGTATTAAATTCATTAACAGATATCATAATTAATATTTAATTAATTTAAATATGCTAATATATATCTTAGGGTAAAAAAACTATGGAAAAATGTTCGTGTGATGTGTTTCATCTTTTAGGACTTTCATCTGACTAAAAAAAAAGTGATGTTTACATTGATGCAACTGCACATGAAGGAGAGGAGAAGCAAAAAATTAAAAAAATTTTTTTTAAATATATGCTTTTGATAAGGTAGTGTAGTGGATAAAAATTAAATTTAGAATTCTCAGCATCCTCTCTTCATATGTATGTGTAGTCACATCAAAGTAAACATCACTTTAGTCTGATGAAGCACTAAAGGACAAAAAACTTTTTGTCAGTTTTTTTTCCATAAAATTGTTCTTGATATATAAAAAATTATATATATATTTTCTCATATATGTATATAAAATAATTGAGCACTAGGTCAAAAAAAGAGATGGAGATTTAAACACAAAATCAAGATTAGAAAATTACAACATTTCTTCATTAAAACTAATCGAACATCACCTGAAAACACCCATATTCTACAGATTACCAGAAGTATATAAACTAGGTATTCCAATGAGACCCATTATATCAAGAATAAGTATTGCCCCCATATAAACTAGCTGGTACACGGCATAATCAGCTTCTCGCAGATAAAATAGCATGAGATCTTATTAATAGATTAAAAATCATAGACATAAAAGACAAATATATGCCCAGTTTAGGTATGAAATCTTTATATACAAATGTTCCTGTGTGAAGAAATGCCTAAATTTACTAAAAACACATCTAACAACATATATATGGTGGACTCACCTATCATGAACAATAAATGAGGGTCAGCATTGGATGGTGCCTTTGGTTTTACACTTATGCATACTAGCAGGGACTATTGTGTAGAAAATCAGGTAAGGGAAAGAGATATTTCATTTGTGCTTTTTTAAGTGTGATACTAGCCCAGCCTTTGGTGTGAGTGACAAAGCCACACTGACAGATGAAATTTGTTAAAGCAGGATTTTGATGGCATCTCTGCTTCAGAGCTTAACAAAGTTGATCATGCTACTTCAGTCTACTGTCTTCAAAACCCTTTAACAATGAAACATGTCTTATGCCACTCCTTTTGGTTTGATGCTTGGGCTTCCCAGGTTTTCAGATCAAAGTTGAGACATTTCAAGTTGTCTTTCAATTTGTCATTGTAGCGTAAGAGTGGACATCCGACTGAATGCTTGGAGTTTGGTAGTTGTCCATACAGCACCTGTTTTGGAAGCCTATGCTCATCCATTCTCACAACATGACCAGCCCACTTAAGTTCTGTCTTTGCTAGAATGGTTTCAATGCCTGTGATGTTGTTACATTTCTTCAGTATTGCACTATTCTTGACCTTGTCATCCCATTTTATATCGCATATGGCATGAAGACAGTGCATGTGAAAGGTGCTGAGTTGATTTATGTGCTTGTGGTACAGGGTTCAAGTTTCAGCACAATAGAAAGGTGCTGAGAGAACGACTGATCTGTATATGTCGATCTTTACTCTGAAAGACATGTCTTTGGTGTTCCATAACCTATGTTTAAGTTTACTGAATGTTGTTCTGGCTTTGGCTATTCTGGATTGGATTTCTCTCTCTCTCTCTCTCTCTCTATATATATATATATATATATATGATAAAATAAAAGAACAAATAGGAAACATATATCAATCTAACATGTTTCACTTTTATTAAAGCTTCATCAGTGATTGATAGAAAACGGACAAAAAGACAGAAAACACTGATATTTTCAATCATGTTTGGGTCTGTTTTCATTGGTCAAACACATGTCACATGTATTAAAACCATGGATAAATCTATTTGTATGTAGGTTTGTGAAGAATTTTGTATGTCTAAGTGGGCAATGAATGGTAATGTGTATTTGTAATTGTGTGCGTTTGTCTAGTAGGAGTTTTTATCTTGCTTTTTGTGCGGCCAACCTTCTCAGTGGGGTGTCGCAGTGTTTTGATTTTATGACTTACTTCTTTATGAATTTATTCTTTGTTTAAGATAGATATAAGTTAGATTCTTTAAGAATGGATTCAAAGAAAGATGGTGATGTAATGTTTTAGGTGTATGTTTATAGTTGGTAATAATGTTATTAAGTTATTTATTTTCTTCTTAAAGTATTATGTTCTTTTTTAATTTAGGTGGCATTAGTGAATTCAAAGTTATGTCCAGCATCGTTTTGATGCAAAATGAGTGAGATCAATTGTCCAAACATAAGTCTCTCTTTTATGTTCATAGATGCGGGCTTTTTGGTCAAGTGATGTCTCCCCGACATAAACATTTTTGCATTATAAACAATTTATTTGATAAATCCTGGCATTTGAATTGGTGTTGGGTTTATTTTTCTTCTTAATTATATCTTTGATTGTCTTGGAGGTGGTGGTAACAATCCTAGTATTAGGGATGACTAATTTGTTTGCAAGTTTAGCGGAAAGAGTATTGGAGTGTAGGATTATGAATTTTGTGCAATTTTTGTTAGAAGTGTTATTGGTGGTGTCTATATTTTAGGTTTTGTGGATTTTGTAAGCTTGTTTTTTTTTTTGGCATTGAGAATAAAATGATGTCGGTAGTGGAGAAATTTGAAAGTTTTCTCAATATATCTCTCTTCTTCATTTTGATATTCTGGGCTGCATATCCTAAGGGCTCTAAGGTAAAATTCTATGACTAGTCCAGATTTTATTTTTTGGTTGTGGTGGAAATAGAAGTTGATTAGATCATTTTTGTTTGTTGTTTTATGATATACCTTAAAATCTAATTTCTTATTGTTGCATATTAATAACATGTCGAGGAAAGATAGGGAATTGTTTATTTCAAATTTGTGTGTGAATTTAATGGTAGGTTCAACCTTATTGAGTTTCATTATTATGTCTAATAGGTTTGTATCTGTAACGAGCATGCGCAGAAGGGTCCTGTGTGTTGTCGCCGGGCACACCTTGGACTACCATAATGGACTCGACCAAGGACTACAAGAAGAAAATGCGCAAGTCGTTTGTCATCTTTTCGTGGGCAACAAAAGCCGTTGCAGTCGGTCGTCTGTCGGTAGCAGTCTTGGGTGCCATTTTGCTTGTTTGCTGTCGTAAAGTGTTCATTCAGAAGAGAAGGCGTTCGTTTCAGGTCCGCAAGTAGGCGTTCGTTTCAGGTCCGCAAGTAGGCGTTCGTTTCAGGTCCGCAAGAAGGCGTTCATTTCAGGTCCACAAGAAGGTGTTCGTTTTAGGTTTGCAAGTAGGCATTCATTTTTGTGTCACAAGAAGTTGTTCGTTTTAGGTTTGCAAGTAGGCATTCATTTTTGTGTCACAAGAAGTTGATTTTTTTGTTTTTTTCCCGTTTTCTCGCACAAGCTATTTTGGCATTATGGCCTTCGACCTGAAGCTGATACCACTGTTCAACGGAAGCAATTCTGGACGGTCGGTAGTGGAATGGTTGGAGAAGGCGGAACTAATATGTCAGTTGAGCAGTGTGAAGCGAATTGAGTGTGTTATCCCAATGTGTTTGGCAGGTGGTGCATATGCTGTGCACCAGCAATTGAGTGAGGAGAAGCGCGCAGACTTCAATTCTGTTAAGAAAGCATTATACACGGCTTTCGCCTTGGATCCATTCTCTACGTGGAAGCAATTTGCAGCACATCGCCTTCAGCCAGAGGAGAGGGTCAACGTCTTTTTGGCAGAACTGCACAGAGTCGCGGTTCTGTCTGGTGGTGTATCAGAAAAGTGTTTGCAGTGTGCATTCATTGCTGGATTGCCTGAGCGTGCAGAGGAGCTTTTAAGAGCGTTATCCTGGATGGAAGATCTAGATTTGTCACATGTGCTGGCACGAGCTCGCGCTATTTTGAAGAAGTGCACTGGTTCTACGGAGCAGGCTGCAGTGGCTGCACAGTTGAAGAAAACACAAGGTGCTATAAATGTGATGGACCCAATCATAGGGCAAGCGATTGTCTCCTGGGTCGTGAACCATCCAAAGGTGCTGGTACCAAGCACCGATGGACCATCACTTGCTATCGATGTCATCGGCAAGGGCACATTGCTTGGTGTTGTCTGGGAAACAGGCAAGGGGGCGAGAATTCAGCGCCAATCTCCTCCCCAAAACTCTTGTAAATGGCGTATTGCCTGTAGTGACAGTTCGTATTAATGGAATACCACGTATAGCTCTGCTGGATACAGGATGCACACAGTCACTTGTCCACAAGTCATACTGTCGAGCATGAACAAGAAAATCAACATGTGTGCTTACAGTAGACGAAGGCACACTTGACTGCTGTGGAATCAGTGTGGTACAAGTTAGCGTTGGTGCAAAGCCGTCCATCGCTATGGAAGCCCTAGTCGTGGACGGAGACCTGCTTGGATTCGACTTGCTGCTTGGACTAGACGCCATCAAACAGTTGGGAGGAATATCTGTAACTGGCACCGGTGAGGTGAAGTTTCCGCACTGTGTCAAACCAGTCGTTGCTGCCGTCACCATTACTGAGCCCGACTTTAAAGTAGCGGAGGTGGACCACATCTTGGAAATGGGCTGGCAACGTTAAGAAATAGACTGACAGAATATCCAGCTCCCGCACAAATTTGGGAGGAG